CAGTGGTGAAACATCAGCGCCAACACAGACCTGACCTCTGACCCGAGGCGATCACACTCCAGAGGACGCAGAGTCTTTGAACAGAGAGAATAAAAGATGGCCACCGCGTTTCCTCCTGAGGTTTTTATTCCAGGATGATGAAAACATGAAGGTCCCAACCGAACCAGGACTCTGTTCTGATCCAGTTCAGAACCGACAGCTTCAGGAGCGATAGCCGGATCTGAGTCAGAACCGCAGTGAGGCGAGCGCCGACCAGCTGATGGCTGGAAAACAGACGCAGCCGCCAATGGAGGTCAGAATCTACATTTCAATGCTTACAACATTTTCTGATACCTGAATTTATTCGTAGGATTTTCTATTTTTGCAATCTGTCAGCATCATTATGCCAGGAAAGACTCAGAAAATGCATAAAAATTAGATTTCAGACGAAGGTTTCAGCTCCTCAGTGAGACGCCACAGCTGTCAGAGTCAGGAAATGAAACGAGTCGAGATTTATGGAAGATTTCTGCAGAAATACGTCTGTTTTAACACAACACCAGAGGTTTATGTTTTATACAGAAATACTAAAATATTCAGCTCCAACAGAGACGACATCGAACCACCTGAGCGGGTCAAAACCACCTGAGCGGGTCAAAACCACCTGACCGGGTCAGGAGCAGAACCAGAGGCTCCAGACTCTCCTGGTTTACCGTCAGCTGGAGCTGCTGGTGACCAGACAGAGCAGCGACAGGAGAGAAACGCAGCAGATCAGGAAACCAGGAGGCAAACAAACAGCTCAGGTCGGGTTCTGTTTTCATTCAGCACTTTAAAAACTCAACTCTCCTTCCTGTCATTTTTTATTGGATTTATTTTGATATTGAATTTAGCGCTTTAGCATTAGCTCCTGCCAAAAACCATGTTGGTGTAGCGCTTTAGCTAACTTTTAGTTCTCATTGTGCAGCAGTAGAGAAGAGTTGTCCTGTTTTTTCCAGACGTTTTGTTTCTGCAGCTCTGCTAAAAGGCAGCAAAGAAAGAAAAATCACCTTTTATCTGAGATCCAGTTGAGTGCATCTGGTCAGAGATCGCTCTCTGCCGCTTCACGCCGAGAAGTGAGTCAGTCTGAAGTGTTTCCTCTCCGCTGTTGGTGCAGCAGGAAGTGAGCAGCTCAGCGAGCGGCGCGTCGCTCTGCAGGGAGCTGCAGGCTAATCCAGCCTTCACAGATCCACAGATGAAAGCACAGCGACTCCTTCAACCTGAACTATACTCTGACAGATGCATGCTGGGAAATCTGCTGGTTAATGCAAACTGAGACTCAAGTAAAGAGTCAGCTAACAGCCTAAACAAATCCTGAAGCTCATCTAGTTTACATAACAGAGAAATATTTGATTTTTCACTGCAGCAACAAACCAGCAGGTTTCATTCAGCAGGAACTCGACTTTTTATTGATGCTCACAGAAAAAGACCCGAGTTAATATCTCAGCAAAACAGATGAAAACAAATTATTTCAACTCCAAGACATAAATACAGATCAACGAGGGTTTTATGTTTTCTTTTGCAAACATTAAATCCATTAAAAACTCTAATTTTCTTTGTTTTATAAAATCGCAGCGTCATCAAAACATGTTTGCCATTTGAATCCTGAATTAGTTCGTTTCTGGAGACGTCGACGTTTTTGTTTTGTTCCATAAATAACCGGCCAGAATCAGATTTTAAAACATTTGCAATAAAAACTTTTTCTTACAGAAGCTGCAGACATAAATAACGTCTGAAAACGACAATAATGAAGTGATGAAATCAGTCAGTGAACGCATCACATCCAGACCCAACTCCACATCCAAACAGAACCAGAACAGAACCGGGCCAGAAGCTGCAGTCAGTGCTCCACTAAATACCACTGCTGTTAGCCGTTAGCTTAGCTGTTAGCTTAGCTATTAGCTCCCTTCATCTGCTGACCTGCTGTCACTCTTTGCAACTTAACAATCCATCCAGAGACGGCGGCCATCTTTACTACCGTAAACCGAGCGTTGCTTGGCAACGCCGACGTTCTTCTTCTGCAGAAACGTTTCACTTCGGGGTCAGAAACCGTTCACACCGACTGCAGTCGCATTTAATTAGCAGCTCCAACAACCATGGAGCCAAATAAGGACAAAAAAATAAAAATCAACAACTCTTGATCAAACTTGTCGTCTCCATCAACCAGAACCTGGACAGTCCAGCAAGACGCAGAGGAAAACCTCGACCTTTTGACCTCAGTCAAGCTAAAGCCGTTAACCTGGTAGAGGCTAAAATATAAACATGGAAATATTTATCATCAGCATTTTCAGGTTCTAGTCATTACTTCGGTTCCTCATTCCGTCCTGCATCAGAACCAGAACCAGAACCAGAACCGTTCTCCTTGTTCCTTCCTCTCTTCCCTCTGCATCCAACAGAACATAAATGAGTTCAGTTTGTTTGTCCAAGGAAACCCAGACCTGTTAAAAACCTGCAGCTTAAAAAACCTGCAGCTTAAAAAACCTGCAGCTTTAAAAACCTGAAGCTTTAAAAACCTTTAAAAACTTGAAGCTTTTAAAACCTGAAGCTTTAAAAACCTTTAAAAACCTGCAGCTTTAAAAACCTGAAGCTTTAAAAACCTTTAAAAACCTGAAGCTTTAAAAACTTGAAGCTTTTAAAACCTGAAGCTTTAAAAACCTTTAAAAACCTGCAGCTTTAAAAACCTGCAGCTTTGAAAACCTGCAGTTTTAAAAACCTGCCTCTCTCCATGGTTCTCCTGCTGCAGTGAGATGTCAGCCGGATCTTCACGGCACCATGTGACCTGTTCACTGTGTTGAGCAGAAAAGGTCCACTTGTTTGTCAGGCTGTGACAACATGACACACACACACACACACACACACACACACACACACACACACACACCAACCTGCATCACGTATGCAGCAGCAGTGAGCCCATAATCAGCCAGATGGAGCAGAACCCCAGAACCCTGCGGCCCGACCCTGACAGCTCCAACCTCTCAGGATAAAAATAGTAAATCTGCCAATTAGATTCTGCTCACAGAGGCGAGCGCCGCTTTGGCTTCTGAACCGAGTCGTCTCGGCTGAATCTGAATCAGGACGGATTCTCTTCCCTGAAGGAAACTGGATGATTCACAAACCCACAAAAAAATCCAGTTTTCACAGACAGGAAAAGTTTCTCAGAGCAGAAAAACGTTTATGGTTCCTGTCAAACCAAAATCTCCTACAAGATCCTGATGTTCTGAACGCCTCTGAGCGGTGCGTTCACTGACCTGAGGAAGAATGCGGCCGCACCAGACGGAGCCGGGCTGGTTTGGGTGGCGATGCTGTGGGCCGCCGGTTTCACTGGGACGTCCTGGGTCGTCATGGCAACACGGCCCTGGCCAGACGTCGAACCCTGACGAGAGAGAAGAAGAAACGTTCCTGATGTTCAGAACATTCTGGGAAAGATGAAGTCTCTGGAGGAACAGGAACAGGAAACAGGAAACGCTCATTAACCAATCAACTTGAGTCATAATCTGGTTCTGATTGATCACTAATTATTTGTTTCCATCTGAGCTGCTGGTCAAAATGTTTCTGTAAGAAAAGACAGCCGAGTTTTAACACAACGAAAAAACATCAACAACGACCTTAAAGAAGCAACTGCTGCTGCCCAACAACCTGGGAAGGGTCATAAGGTCGCCTCCAAGCAGGAAAATGCAGAATGATTGTGGCTGTCTGGAGGAAGACTGGCATCTGAATACCAGCTGTGAAGCACGGTGGTGGTGGTATGATGACCTGGTCAGCAGCTTGTGGTCGTTGAATCCATCAGGATCTTTTCTGTCTAATAAATTATTCATCTGAACAGAGCAGCTGCAAAATGACAGACTGAAGTGGTTCTAATGGTCTAGTCAAAGTCCAGACCTCAAGCTAATTAAAATGATGTGGTGGAAGCTCAGAAGCTAACACCTGCAGACCAACCTGCCTCATCAGAGCTTAATCATCTCTGAAGTTATTCCACTTTCTTCTCCTGCTGCTCTCCAGTTTGTTCTTATTTCAACTCTTAACTTTTAGTTTTGTCAGTTTTTTCTCTCCGTATAGCTCCACCTGGTCTGGCGTTCTGATTGGCTGTGGTTACTTCCTGGAGGAGGGAATCAGCTGACATGATGCTGCCATCACCGAACCGTTACCTCCTGCTGTTAAACCATGAATGTTCTTCAGCCAGGTTCTGGTTCTGCTGGAGGTTCCTTCCTGTTACAGGAGAGTCTTTCCTCTCCACTGTCGCCCCCTGCTGGTCAGGATGAGCAAACGGTTCGATCTGATCTGCTGGTTTCACTGGGACAGAAACGTTTTGATCCGTTTGATGAACTGGACTGGTTTCTGTTCAACCGGCCCAGGTTTCCTGCCTCTGATCCATTTCTGGGTTTTATTTCCTCCCTGCTTGTTTCAGTTCTGGTAAATAAACGGGCCTTCGGTTCTGCTCGGTTCTGGTGGATTGTTACGGCAGCAGGAAGCAGGCGATGCGCTCGGCCGGCTAACAGGATTACAGAGAGAGCCGGCGGCGGGCCGACCCGCTGCCAGAACCAGAACCAGAACCACAGTTCATCTCAAACGTCTCTGTCTGCTCCAGTCGGGCCATCAGAACCGGTTCTGTGTTTCAGGATGAAATGGCTCAGAGTGGCGGCTGGCTGGACAATCAGCTCAGCACCTCCTGCCTCCTCCTGCCTCCTCCTCCTCCTGCCTCCTGCCTCCTCCTGCCTCCTGCCTCCTCCTGCCTCATGCCTCCTCCTGCCTCCTCCTGTCTCCTCCTCCTCCTGCCTCATGCCTCCTCCTGCCTCCTCCTGCTCCTCCTCCTCCTCATGTCTCCTCTTTCAGTTTCTGTCTCTAAAAGCAGAAGGACAGTCAGAGGATCTTAAAGGACGTCTCTTATCTCACAGCGGCCAGCCGCTCGGCGGCATTCAGGCCTGATGATTCCTGTCTCAGTGTCTGCTGCTTCAGTCGGATCCTGTGGATCTGGTGGAGATAATGAGGCTGAACGCTTTTACAAACTCCAGCTTCAAAATACAAAGAGGAACATGGAGGAAATGATAAGAAAAACTGTTTTTCTGCAGCAGAACAAGATTATTCAGTCAGGAGAAGCAAACTGATGCTAAGCTACTTAAAGGTGCACCATGTAGGAAACACTGACCTCCGGTGGTCAGACTGGGCATTGCAGCACTGACAAACTCCATGCAGTAACAGAAAATGATCTTTAATGCATTGATCATTATAGGGAGTCTATAAGGTGTAATTACTGTGTAATAAACTCCTCTCACCGTTTCCGGCTGAGGTTCAGCTCTGCTGCAGGAGACCCTCCAGATTCCCTCCAGGTAGTTATGAGCGTTCAGCGGCGTGACCGTGGCGAGCCCTTTGGCTCCGCCCCCTCCCAGGTAGGTGCTGTGCACGCCGCCCCACGGAGCTCCGCCCCCCTGCTGCTCCTCCTGCATCCACCTCTGCTGCTTCACCGGCAGCTCCTCGGCCTCCCAGGGGGCGGCGGGGCGCGGCGCCATCTCCCCGCTGACGCCCAGAACCCGACGCAGAGCCAGACGCCTCAGCTGCTGGTAGGCGGCGCCGCAGACGCTGCAGCGGGCGTCGCAGGAAGCATGGCGGCCGCGGTGAGGCCACTGCAGGCGGCGCAGCTTATCGAAGACGAAGGAGGCGTAGGCGGGGTCCTGAGGGGAGACGGCAGGTTTCATGTTCAAACATTTAGATTCCTCAGCTGGAGGCATGAAGGAAGTTAAAGACAGAAAAATGAACAAGAAGCAGCAGAAACAGGAATCTGAGTTTATAACTAGAATCACAGCATCAACATTCAGCATCTGATCGACAGGTTTGTTGTTTGTCCTTCCCTTCATCATCACACTGCAGGAACAAAACTAAGAACTGATTTAAAAGTCAATAATTCATTTGTCTTGATAAAAAACTTTTAGTTCAACTGGCAGATTTTATTTACAGCAGAAATAATCTGCCAGAGGAACTGGAACTTTTTATCAAGATGAAGAAAAACTCCAACAACCTGCTGAGGATTTACCTGGACTGAGATTTACACCAGGAACATTTGGGGAGATTTAGTTTCTACACTGCAGAATGAAAACGGCTGAACTGGAACTTTTTACTTGATGTTTCTCATTATTTTAGTGTGAAGAAAGTAAAGTGATCAATCTGTGGGGTGTAAATATTTCTACACAGTTGAACGTCTGCTCTCTTTCTGCAGCAGCTGCTCCAGTTTCATCCAGTTTTATGTTTTCTGCACAAAGACGCAGCAGATCTGCCTCAGCAGCTGCTGCGCCTGAGGAGCTGCAGCTCTGCTGCAGCCGCCGCCGCAGCAGGACGTAAAACCGTCGGCGTCTGAAGAGGAGCAGCAGATTTACAGCCGGGCGTGTGCGCCGGGTTTGACCTCCGGTCGACACTCGTCAGCCGAGGTCACAACCAGCGTCAGGGTGAAATAACTTCAGAGGCAGCAGACGGTGACCTGCACATCCACAGGCTTTTACTCTCCAACTGGAGACTTTTACTCCAACTGGCAGCTCAGTTCACCTCTGATCTGCAGACGCCGTTAATAAAACACCAGGAGAGAGTTTGATTTAACTGCTTCAGCTGCTGCTCCTCCTTCCAAACATTAAAGTCCCTCAATAAACCTGAGGAATAAATTCAGAGACAGGAAGAAAACAAACAACTTTCATTTCTAACTAAAGTTTCTGGACTTTAAGGGGTTAAAGTCACCCTGCCTGACATGAAGCCGATCCAGCTTCACATCGAGGCGACGATGAGAAACGATCTGGAGAAACTTCAGGATTTAAGACGAGAAATGATTTCTGATGTTAGAAAACGTTTCAATCTGAAGCGTTTCCTCTGGCAGAATCACTGAATCAGTTCTGAAAACAGACGATTCACTCAGATGTCATCAGATGATGCTGCAGTCAAAGCACCGCACCGGGTCTGACCGGGCCG